GCGTCTCTCAAAGTGGCGTTCTACGCCTCCACGTGTCCATCTGCGGAGGAAATAGTGAGAAGTACTGTAAACAAAGCCATTTCAGAAAACTCAGGCATAGCAGCTGGTCTCATAAGGATGCATTTCCACGACTGCTTTGTCAGGGTAAAATCAATCACTCATCTCTCAACTATCATCGTATTAAAGAACACCCTCATCAATTTCATTTATGCATTTTTTCAGGGCTGCGATGCTTCCGTGTTGCTAGCATCTACCCAGGGTAACCCAGCAGAAAGAGACCATTTTGCCAACAACCCAAGCTTGCGTGGGTTCGAGGTCATTGAGGACGCCAAGGCCCAGTTGGAGGCTGCATGTCCTCAGACGGTGTCGTGCGCAGACATATTGGCCTTGGCAGCAAGAGACAGTGCTCTTAAAGTGGGTGGCATAAACTACGACGTTCCAACAGGACGCAGAGACGGTCTTGTCTCCGTGGCCGATGAAGCGGCGGAGAATCTGCCTGCACCAACCCTGAGCGCCGATGAGCTTGTGAGTAGGTTTTCACGAAAGGGTTTGTCTGCAGATGAAATGGTGACACTTTCGGGAGCCCATTCCATTGGTGTGTCGCATTGTTCTTCCTTCTCTAAGCGGTTGTACTCTTTCAATCAGACCTTGCCGCAAGACCCATCGATGGACTCTTCCTACGCTGAAACCTTGAAAACAAAGTGTCCTGCGCCACCTTCCATCTCAGACCCGACCGTGTCTTTTGATCCTTCCACTCCCATTCGTTTGGACACCAAATACTACGATGGATTGATCGACCACCGAGGCTTGCTCACATCGGATCAGACGCTGTTCACCTCTCAATCCACCAGGGAAATGGTTCTCGGCAATGCCAACGATCCTGCGAATTGGTCTCAGAAGTTTGCCAAGGCAATGGTTCAAATGGGTTCCATAGATGTCCTCACTGGCTCCAACGGCGAGATCAGGAAGCATTGCACCTTTGTTAATTAATTCACTCGTCCACAGCTCACTCGCTCGCTTTCGTTTGTTCAATTCTTTTTTTACATTTTTTTTTAATGTTGTTGTTTATTTTTTCTTTCTTTTAATTAATTTTGTAAGAGTTGTGTCCATAAATTCAATTGTAATGTTATTTGTTATTATCATTTTTTTCTGTAAAATTCATTAATAGACAGTTTTTTTTGACGGATAAATTGGATTTACAATAACACTCCCCCTCAATCAAAATTATCTAAAGACTTCAACCCCACTATGCCTCTAAATTTTTCAAATCTGCATTGCCTCAAGGACTTAGTAAAGATATCCGCAATTTGCTCCTCTGTGCTGCAATATACTAGTTCAATCTTATTCTTCATAACTTAATCCCGCAAGAAGAAGTGACACTTTGTCTTTATATGCTTTCCCGTGGCATATTGGGTTCTTGGATAAGTGTATGGCAGACTTATTGTCTACTAGTGGTTGAATCGGCTTCCTGTAATCCAGTATTAACTCCTCCAACACAGATTCCAGCCATAA